AATTATTGCTTAAAAAGTAGATATCTTTTTAAAGTCAGTGTTCTTGTTGCCTGTATATTTGTAAGCTTTTTTTCCTTCCTTAGACCAATTAATGATGGCAATACTCATACTATCTTGATGTAAGATGTTTTGTATTTCATTCGTTTAATACTATGAATTTTGACAGATGCGGTCTGTTTCCTTGGAGCTTGAGGTTCTTGGCAGGCATCAACATCCAAATTTAACTGTGCCATTTCTAAAGGTTGTGGTTATCTGGTGTGTTTATATAGTTCAGTTTAATTTTTGGTGTGTTTATATAGTTCAGTTATCTAAAGGTTGTCTAATTTTTGGTTGCTGCTGTTCTTTTCTGTCAATCATCTGTTTTATGGAAAAAGATTCTGGACTGTTCAAAAATTCTTAGCTAATAGGAAAGTTTCCTTTTCTGAGGAGAGGTGGATTCCAATCATTCATGTGTCAACATAGTATCTATCATTTTCTAAGACCATCAGTTTTAGTTGTTGCTCTACTCATACACAACATGTCGTGTTCCAATAAAATAGTGGTTAATCATATAGTCTTACTGTTGTGAACTGTCTTACTTTTGTGAACTGTCTGAAGTCTCATCTGTCTGCTTGTGCTTTTAGTTTGTTTATCTCATTATTATGACCCTTTTTCAATAGGGTGTAGCTGAAATCGCCAAGGCATCAAAGTGTGAAGCATATGCAATGCCTACGAAAGCGGAAGCATATTCTGTACATGTCAAATCTAAGGTATCTGATATGGAGGAAACAACAAGGAAGGAATGTGATGGTTTTACATCTAGCTATGGCCGTGATACTAATGTAAAGTCCATGGAAACAGGTATTGTTTTCTATTCCAGGACATTGCTAAATTTGTTGTAGGCTGAACACTCGTCTGTAGAATAGAACAAAAGCATTTGAATTTGGTTAGGATGCCTTTAGGTTTATATATAATTCTGTATATATCTTGAGCATACGACACTAAGACGGTGATACACCTGCTACCTACTATAATATATCTACGAATTATTTTAGGCCAATTTTGGAGAAAAGACTGTTTATGACTCACTGATTTGGGGTGTACACAAATGTAAATTTGAAAGGGGGGAGTATTAAGCAAAATTGGAAGCAATGAACTTATTAAGATCTACAAATCCAGTGTTTTGAAAGTTTCATTTGAACAGATAGAAATGAACTTCCGTTTTGATCTTTTAACCAGAGTGTGAATTAAAAATGCCCTTCAGAAAAAGAATTCCAGAATAACATCTTAAAGGCTTAAGGATAATTGTTTGCATTACCAGATGTAATGTTTCTCTAGGCTGTTTTCTTTGCTTTGGTGAGACTAAATAGCATTTGCTAGTATCTGTACCTGTGTGAATGCTGCAGACGATGTTGATTCCACCTGCAATGTTTCTGATATGCATGTCGAGCACTGGGAGAAAATGCTGTTTGAGTTGAATGATTCTAAAAGATATAGGAGGATAGTTGGGTCTATTGCAGGATCGTGCTTAACAGCTGCGACCCCGCTAGTTGCTTCATTGAATGAGTCAGCTGCTTTGGTGGCCTTGGATATAATCAATGTATGTTTTTTGGTGAAATCTTCTGCACACAGTAGTTACTTCTGCAGTTTCTTACATTTCAATGCCTTGTGAATGAGACATGCGCCTAAATCTAGGATTTTGGATTTTAGAATCTGATCTCTGGGTATCTGATGGTATAATTTATTTGTGACCTTGACCTTATATAAGGCTATCATGATTAGCGCTCCAGATGCTGAAAAATAACTTGTTTTTCTCAATATGCACCCTCTGTAGGATGGTATTGCTGCACTAGCAAAAGTGGAAGAAGCCTATAGGCATGAGAAGGGATCAAAACAACAAATTGAACGGGCAATACAGTTGTGTTCATTCCATGATCTTGAAGATACTCTAGATGCTGCTGATGAAACTGATGAGAATAGATTGCTTCCAGCAATGAATAAAATATGGCCTTACTTTGTCACTTGCATAAAAAATAAAAACCCATTGGTACGTGTCATGTATTTGAGTTTTTGGCCCATGCATTTCGTTTTGACATTCGAATGTCATAGTTAACTTCATTGTTTTTTGATTTCTTTTAATCACTTGGAAAAAGAGAGTCATGCTCAATCAATCTTATTTTGTTCATTTAAAAAGTTGTGAGTTTCTTTTCCTATAGGTGATAAGGAGATGCTTGAATGTGGTAAGTAGTACTGTGCAGATATGCGGAGGTGATTTCTTTTCGCGGCGCTTTCACACTGACGGACCTCACTTCTGGAAGATGCTTACCACTTCCCCCTTCAGTAAAAAATCTATATTAAGTGATGAGAAAAAACCGCTACAACTTCCGTATCGAATCAGTTCTACATCTTCAGAGGATTCTATGGCTGAAACATCAGGTCTGAAAGTCCAAACAGCAGCACTCACCATGATTGCAAACTTATCTAGGAACAAAAGAAGTGCTTCTGCATTGGATGCAGTACTGAAGAAAATCTCTGGTCTTGTTGTTGGTATAGCTTGCAGTGGTGTTGTGGGTCTTCATGATGCTTCAGTTAATGCCTTATCAGGGCTTGCTTGTATTGATCCTGATCTCATTTGGCTGCTTTTAGCTGATGTGTACTACTCTTTCAAGAGTAAAGATGCACCTTCTCCACCTTTCGTTGGTTTACCAGAGATAGCTCAACTAGTACCATCTCCATCATCCCACAAAGAATTTCTCTTTGCTCAGTATGGAGGAGATACTTTTGGTTTTGGAGTCGATGTTTCTTCCGTGGAAAAAATGTTTCAGAAGATGAACAAGGAGGTGTTTACTTGGCAAATGGACGTTTAGGAATGAATGATAATCTTAGTTTTCAATCCTTAGGACTTTTTGTGGTCCTATACCTTGTATTATGTACTGTACATATATATGTATTTACTTTGATCATTAATTTTATAAAAAAGAAAATAGTGGAAGTTCAAATTGGCATCTGGCAGGTCCTTGCAAAGGGCAGAAAGGATGTTCTAATTGGCATCTGACAGTTCCTTGCAAAGGGCAGAAAAGTAGTAGGTATTTGAACCCTGAACACTGGTATTCCTGCTGGCTGCAATCACGAATGGTTAACGTTTATTTCACAGTTCGAAAAACATTAGCACCATTACCACAATGTCAATCAGAAAAAATATCTCTATCACGTCTTACATGTCTTGTATGGAAGAAGCACTAAAAACATGACAGAAACGAGTTGTGCGGTCACGTTATTTTCCAAATTTGAGACCAAAAGCTTGTAATCCATTAACTGTCATTCATCTTCTTCTTGGGCAAATAGGTGTTTTTCCATGGAAAATGGGGCTTTTCCACC